CTACTACTACCACAAGCATCCCGCTCTCCCCAGCACTAAAGCACCTCCAAAACAAGCAGGGTGAGTAACAGATCTCACTCAAGCTGTTTCACATCCAGAAAGTGTTTATGCGTATTTAGAAAGACATATTGTATTATGATGTTAATATTGTGTAACAGTTATTTTGCACACCTTATACATTGTACCTACCTCGTGAAGTTTGTTCATTATTACAACCGATAATATAGGCTAATATAATGTAATCATATTCACATGATCATATTGTACTTAATGAGCTAGGTGAACTGTGCAAAGTGAAACAAGTGTAAAAGCATGGTGTATTTGAAATTGGTATCACAATATTGTAATCAAACCAGGATTTAATAAATAAGGTTGCATCAGAATTGATAATTAAGTAATACAATCAATATGTAATGTTCAATTATATAGTGTGTGAACCCACAAATGTGTCACCTTGACTTGTGAAAACACCTTTTGCCTCTAATTAAACAAACCACAAATCCACTGGTTTGGATCAGGTCAGATGATACCACATTTTCCTCTCAGAAAGTGTGAAAAAGTCAGCAGAAGTAACACTCTCAGAGGCTTGCCAAATCCCAGTGGAATTAAACGTTAATATTGCTGCTCCTGTGTTTTCCATTAAGTGCTAATTGCCCCAGCATCTGCTATGCCGTCTCCTTGATAAGAATTAATTAAATTTGCGAACTAATCTTAGTGGTGTATGCATTAGGCCAGATAATTGAGAAGCACAGGATAATGCAGATAGTGTTTGGAAAGTGGTGAGTTTGCAATGGGGGAAAAAGAAAAACAGAAATTAGAGGACTGATAGGTAAAGCTGAGATTAATGCAATTAATTAATTTATTTATTTTTATTTATTTATTTTTTTTTGAGGGAGTGAGTGATTTTATTATCCTGGACAGCTGAGATGGTTTTGTAGCAATGGTTACATTTGAAGTAGTAAACACTCAGTAAATACAATGGGTGATTGTTTTAAGGAGAGGTCACTAATGTGACGTGTATAACAATATTTATTTACCATTCCAACTAGTCTATAAAGAATTGTTACATCAAAAATATATAACTTATACCACAACAACCTTTGTGTACAAACTTGTGGTATATTGTGCAGATGAAAAAGCATATGCACTTATTCATCATTAAGGTTTAATATTACTGCCCTGGTTACCTGTAACTAATATCATTCTAGCATTCATTTGTGTAACTGATTAACTGTGTATATTTAGAAACCTATTTCTCAGCAGTAAGCGTCCTTGTATAAAATCATGTAGTGTACATTCGTTGTTCACTGTGAGGCCAATAATGAAAGACGGCAAAATATAATCACTCTTGCCTCATACTGGGAAGGGACGGCGGGATGTTTCTATTTTAAACTACCATCTGGAGTCTACACACCTGCCTGTTGTAAACCACCATCCTCACTCAAGTTATTTGCACTTTTGTAAGAAAAACAAAGGGTCTGATAAATATCATATCATATATCAAAAAATTAAAGAATAAATAGTATGACCCTTTTATTGAAGAAAATGTTTTAATTTCCAAACTGTAATAGCAAGAATACAGCCATACGAGAGGGGAATCCCAAAGAGCGAGGCACAAAGCCAAACCACTGACAATATTTGAGAGACATCTGCTTGTGACAGATGAAATTATTATGACCAAACATGTGGGAATTAATCATGGAGTCATATTTTTTGGCAGCAAGGTTTCAATTTTGTATGATGTGCATCTGCTCACTAAGATATAACATAATGGCAGTTCAGGAGGCTAAGAAGCTGAGATTAGACTGGGATTGGTCAGTTGAATTCAAATATTTTCTCCCTTTTTTCAGAGGAAGCGGTGAATGAGGTGAAACGTCAGGCCATGTCGGAGCTGCAGAAGGCTGTGTCTGATGCTGAGAGGAAAGCCCACGAGATGATTTCTGCTGAGCGCTCTAAAATGGAGAGGGCCCTGGCTGAGGCAAAGAGACAGGCCTCTGAGGATGCACTAACAGTCATCAACCAGCAGGAGGACTCCAGTGAGGTGAGCACAAAGTCTATGCATGCCTAAAATAATCCCAAAAACACATTCTCTCCTATGTGTCCAAATTAAAGTCCCTGTGAAGTCCTGACAATGTGTTATCATTAGGCACAGCTGGCTCAGTATGGGCAGCTCTGTATTGTCATATTATTAAAGCAATCCAGCCCTGATAAATATGGCAGACAGACGCAGATGGCTGGACCACACTGCCAGACTGAGACTATTACAGAGCAGTTGACCACCACCTGCTGGCAGCACAAGTCAGTGGTCTTGGACCCAGGCTTAATAACAAATCCTTACAGACCAAGCCACACAGAATCTGTTCCTATGCTCAGAGATTCCTAATGTTTTGTGCAGGAGAGTAAGGCTTTATGAATAACTCTTTCTTTCTCCTGTTTCATCAGAGCTGCTGGAACTGTGGGAGGAAAGCCAGTGAGACGTGCAGTGGCTGTAACACGGCGCGCTACTGTGGCTCTTTCTGCCAACACAAAGACTGGGAGAAGCACCACCATGTGTGCGGCCAGGGCCTGCAGGGTCTGCCCGGGGGTAGCAGTGTCCCTCTGGGCACGCCCTCCTCCAGCTCCTCCACCTCCTCCAGCGCACCCCCCACTCACTCAGAGAGCACCCCACCCGGCCCCCTGTCCCTGACAGCTCAGAGCAGTATGACCGCAGGGGCAGGCAGTGGCAGTGCCAGTGTCTCTGCCAGCCCAAAGGAGAGCAGTTCCAGCAGTGCCTCTCGCTCCACGACCCCAGCCACGCCTGCGCTCCTGGACGCCACCTCTCGCTGACCTCTGACCTTTGAACTCTCCTGTTTACTGATGAGACAGTGCCCACACTCCACTAAACCAAACTGAGGAATCTCCATCGCACTACGCTCCCGCTCTTTCAGTGGTCCTTGTTTCCCCTCGAGAGTATTTACACTTTGTCCAAATGCGTCCCTCTGAATTTCAGAAACATATCAGTTATGTTTAGCCAAAATATGAGTAAAACTTGAAGAATCGCCCTTAATAATGATGAATGATGTCCATATAAGGACATAAGAAAAGGGCTGTTGAACTGCAGCAGTTATATGGAAAGAATAAAGCACTTGGGTAGGATTTCCCTTTAATTGAGAGAATATTAAGTGAATGACACCCAGCCTTGAGACGTGCACTACTAAATTTACTTTAATAGCAACAAACAGAAGATATAATTTTTTTTTCTGTCTTTTAAAACAGAGGGAAACCTGTGATGTGATTCATTCCTCAGACAAACAACTTAGTATTTATTTAGTTTTTTCTGGCTTTAAGGGAAATGAGAAGTCCAAATATTCTACTTAAAGAATAATGATGATGAAGATATGAAACAAATAAATTTTAAACTGCTAACTACCTTGCTAGCGAGCCAAGAAATCTACACCGGACTCACCTCTCTGCACCATTGTGAACCCAAATGAATTCAAAGATGACAAATAATAAACCTGATCCAAACTTTTGTATTACACTGCCAAAGTGAGTAAGTAAGCGATAAAGGAGAAGCACTCATAACCAAACGCTAAAGCAACACCACCTCCTCAGCAGGAAAAGCCACTCTTGAGAAGACTAAGCTGTAGTCAATCAATGATGGCCCAGACTGTGAACAAGGACTATGCTGTGAACTACAAGAGAGACTTCATGGATTAGAAGAAACCCTGCCACATTGTGATTTAGGTAAATGGTAACTAAGAGTTGACAAAACCAGGAGAAAAGGAAGACAGCCTCAAAGGATCTATGGAGCTGCCAAAAACCTCAACTTAGTTTGCATAATAACTTACAAATTGTTTGTAAGTTGTTTTTTAAAAGCTCCAACGCAACACGGAATAGCTGTTACCTTTACCAACCTTTTCCAAAGCATGAGACAAATAGAGCATATCGAAGTGACTGGCGGTGTAGACTTGGTTCTCCTCTTTCTACCTCCCCTCCGCCCCAAATCTTCCTTTGACGCTCTTCCCTAAAGACTACAAACATGGACGCCCAAATCTCCCTGAATCCTGCTTTGGACTTTGCCTCACATTGCAGTGGGAAACACACAGGACTATTACTTGCTTGTAGATATTGTTCCTCTTTTCAACTTTTCGATAATGTCTCTTGTCGCTGATGTCCACATGTGCTGCCCAATTGTGTATATTCTGAGAAATGGACTTTGTTTTTGTTCAACTACTTTTTTGTTTCATTTCATTCTTGTCAGTTTGAAAATGAGCAGTGAAGTCAAGAGTTTGGACGCTCTTTGAAGGGAAAAACTGTCCCAGGTTGTACTTATTGTTTGATTTGTTGTATCTATATTAATGATGAAATGAAAGCCCACTTGTAGAATATTTTGTACTGCTCGCATTGTAAGACAGTGAGAGGACAGAGGTGCAATATGAAGAGAATTCAGCTACTGAATGGAACCTCAACAACTGCCCATAGGGTGTCATATAATATAGATACATATAAATATATTTAAAACATCAGTAACTTAATTAATGTGAATGTACATAGTATTTAATGAGGTCCAAAAATGTGTTTGCCAAATAACAGAAACCTTTAAGGATTAAAGTCAAGAATATGATTTTGTTCACAGTACATTTGTTTCTTTGATTTTGTTTTTTCATTTCTCAATCTCATTAAAACTGAAAAAGATGACCCAATGTGGAAGAGATAGTTTGGAACAGAGGAAGTTGCTCCAAGGATGAAAACAGAGCAAGAATAGATGCTGTCAGTCTTTCCTCATTATAAGAAAATTCAAATTGTACTTAGTACTTATATGATTTAGCACCACATTCTAAACAAAAGTGAATATGAAAATATTGACATCTCTGACATTCTGTCTTTTTTTTACATTTAATGACTGATTTTGATATGACATGCAAAACGGCCCTCTCAGACACCCCTCTGCATGTCTTGTTCTATCCAGTAAGATGCAAGGAAACTTTGCATTTTACATAATTTGAAGTAATATACCAGTGTTAAGCTAAAGCTAATTTGACACCCAATCATATGTAATGCTTACTTACTTTAAGTTTCTTTGACATACAGTTTAGGCTAACAACTTTCTCAGATTTATGGTCACCCATTTAAAGTCCATTCTATAGCAAAATGTGGACCAAAACATGAAAAAAGGAAATATTTTGGCATTGCAGACCATAGGAAAAGTACACTTGTTAAATACAAGCTTAGATTTGTGCCATTTGCTTCTTGCCGTTAACTGATCTCTCTTCATGACCCGTTCACACACCAGCTACCTCCAGTGACCATACAGCTAACCACCAGGAAACATTGGCCTGGGTTTTTGTAAAGCACGGCTGAAATGCAGACATGGATTCACACAAAATAAAAATAGCGAAAGGAGTTGTCACTTTGCCAGTCACTTTGCAAGTTCACAACATATTAACACAAGTCTACCCTACCATTACACTACCAGTCCAGACAAACATGTAGTACTGTGCAAAGATTTTTGGGAAGCCGAGTGCTTTAAAAATCCATTTGACTTCATTTTGATTTATATTTAGATCACTGTTAAAATCACAAAACATGTTTTGTACATTGATCCATATTTACTTAATTGTTCAAAGTTCCCAAGGCTATTGCACAATACTGTACACATCATATCTTTACTGTATAAATCATGTCTTCAAAAAATGTAACATGCCATTCATATTAAAAACCAATAGCGCGCAAACCAAAGTTATGCTGCCATTGCTACGTATGCTTTGATGTGCTGTGTGTGTTGCCAGATCTGTAAAAATGAAGTTCAATCTCTCTTCTTTGCCAGTTAACCAAAGCATCTGAAATACACACAACAAACGAATGAACAGCAGTGAATAGGCTACATCTTTCACATGTGGAGATCTTACTTAAGCAATCAAAGCTTTTGTTTCCTACACAGTGAATAGTGCTTAGCTAAAACAATAGGAGCGTCTTCTTTACAAAGCCTGATTACAGTTACAATGCCTTTGCAGAGAGATAACAAATGCATGGTAGATTTGTGATTGTATTTTTAAATGGCAATATATTGTTTTGTTTTTTATTTCCCTTTTATTTCATATCACCCAAACAAACTACTTGAAACCTTCAAAGCTTTAATCAAACATTGATGACAACATTGTACAATACATTACATTCACATCAATTGGTGACAAGTTCTTTTCGGTAAATTGTGTGTTCTTCCATGTCTGCACATAAGCCATCCCAGAAAACAAACCAAACCCATCATATCCAACAATGACCAAAATACAACCAAAAGCATTTGTGCTACTTTTATGTTGCGTTTTGAGCTCAGAAACAGGTTTACTTCAACATACATTTTATTATTCATAAAATGTCGTAATGCTTTATTTTTGCTATAAAAATGTTGTAAATGGCAAACACAGGAGGGCTCTGTCAATGTTGGATTCTGAAAATGTGAAAAATTGGGTGAAAATGAATTAAACATAATACAATACAGTAAAGACGTAATTTTAACATGTTACTATGTATCCTGCCCCAGAAATTATGAGTCTTTTGGTCAAACTGACACTGAAGATAATTTCAAATTTTTTCTTCAAAAGCCATTGGTCTGGATGGTCCTGTTTCTTTACATTGAAAGGTATTGTTTCTATATAGAGAAGCATACTGTATTGTGCAATAATATGGAAAACACATTCTGTAGGAAAGGTTGGCTTTTTGATTTTTCTCATTTAGTTTTCATTTTCCTCCTCAAAAAGGTCATGTTGCTGTTTTTAGATGAAGTAAACTGTGCCAGATGAATTAAATTCTGATTTATATTTATTTCTTGCATGCTTTCCTCCCTGTTGCTATAGGCTACTGCTCTATACTGCTCTTTAACTGTTCGCTCTGTTGGATGTGTGAAGCTGTAAAACATTCTAATTCAGGTTATTGTCTGTGTTGAACAATGTAACTGTGTAATTAAAACATGAAATCAAACATTTGTTGTGGATCTCATTCACTGTGTTCTCAAAGTGATAGCATTAAATAATAATGTAAAATATAATAATTCAACAAAACTTATATTTTTTACATGTTCCGCAGTTGGGCATTAAACACATCTGTCACATTTATAAAAGTATTCCTGGGTATTCTTGTTGCAAAAGAAGACTGTCCATTTTTAAGTGGACTCTAATTCAAGTCCTCAGATTTGACCTGTAACAAGATCTCATGGTGTCACATGTTTGTTACCATGGATATAATTTCAGTGCCATACTGTGGAACATTCCAGGTACAGCTATAACATCAACATCATTAACATGACAAGCAGGTGCACACCCTTCACTCAAAAAGTTACAAAATGTACCTTGCAGTACTCATTTTCACAAATAAACAATCAGATACACCTACAGTCTTTTAATTAAAACAATGACGACATGTGACTGTATTTATTCTTATTTTTTTTCTAATACCAGTTAATGTTTGGTCAGTTCAGCTATCAGCATCTGAACATCACATTGAGAAGAACTGTCTACTTTCCTGGCAAACTTATGAATGGGCGTGGCGGTGGGAGCCTTGTGGAAGCACGTGCCTTGCGCCAATCATCAGCATTCACCCGTGTGCGTCATGCGTCCCAATCACACAGGTGATTTCTATTAGCGTGACTCTCCGCTGGCAGGTGGAGCAGGAGTCCGCAAAGTCTCTTCTGTGGGGGCTGCTCTGTGGCAAACTACTGCAGTTAGCTTTGCAGATGTGCAGGTTGAGCAGTGAACATGGCGGAGAACCACATGGATCAAGACTACATGGGGGGCGATTCTTTCGGAGAGCATTACGCAGAGGACCCTGTAAGTAATTTTCTCTTTGGGTCTCTATGTGAAGTAGCATCATTGATTATTTTGAGGTGCACAAACAACGTCGTGTTGCTCTGTGTTGCTAATGCTAAAATTTCATAGATCTTACTTTTTGGGGATACAGCCAGGATAACGCAGGAGTCATGAATCTGCAGGACACGCCAATCATCTTGCTGCGTAATGTCGCATTTCCTGTAAAAATGTGGGGCAGTGTGCCGTTTCATTCTACTGTGGATATGCTTTAGCATAAACATGTAGGCTGACATGAGCAGATTACATCAATTGGAGGCAGACATTGTCTTTTAAATATTGTGATATATGCCCACTCACAATTAAATGTACACTTGACAAAGGCAGCCTTTAACAGCAGAATATTGATTAAAAGTTATTAGAATCTGAAATTGCAGCAGTGTTTGAAAAGCCTAATGTTGGATAGGTCTGTAGGCTGTAGTCTATAAGTAAGTTAATGTGGAGATCTTTAGTATAATTTGACAGCTAACCACTTCTTAAATCTTTGTGCTTTAAAAATGTTATGTTTATAGGAGCTGGCAGCTATCAAGGCCAGGGTACATGAGCTGGAGATGGAGGAAGAATCAGAGCGCCTCAGAGAGGAAGAGGAGCAGTGTGATGCTGTAGATATGCAGCTCCTGACCAGTAGCCCTCGGCTTGGTGAGCCCAAAGGTCTGTGCTACTCTTGTCTCTCCTGTTTCGCACAATACTTCTCATATATTTAGGATGTCTAGAGCATATTTTTAGCCAGGTGCGCAGAGCTTTGCAGCCTCCAGGCAGGTGAGGCATCGCATCCTTCCATCTGGTGAACACCTGGGATGCTTGTGTGGCCGCAGCAGCATTCACATGTGCCTCATCACTGCCCAATGAGACGAGAACCAGAAGGGTCCTCCTTTCCGCCTCCAGCTACTTTCTGCTTCTGTGGTTCCCTCTTGTCTTCTTCTCTGTCTTTTATTCAGTTTAGGGCTCTGGGATGTGCCTGGGCCAAGTGATGAAATCAAATGACATCTTACTGCAATATTGTTAATATTTTATTTGTTCCTCAGGGCCATTTTACAACATGACACCCGAGGAGAGAATAGATGCTGACAACAGATCGGTCTACGTAGGAAATGTAATATTTGTAGTTCACTGCTATATTTAAATTAAAACCATAATCTTTGACCAGCAATTCAAATTCCAGGTGGACTATGGTGCTACAGCAGATGAGTTAGAAATCCATTTCAATGGCTGTGGTCCAGTGAACAGAGTGACCATCCTTTGTGACAGGTTTTCTGGTCATCCAAAAGGGTATGGATCTACGAACAAAATGTTTTCACTCCATAAGGGTGGACTGCTAGTTTTAAATATATATATATTTTTTGTCCTTTTTCTGTATAGCTTTGCTTACATAGAGTTTTCTGATCGAGATTCTGTGGAGAGTGCCATTGGACTGCATGAGACTTTGTTTAGGGGTCGAGTTCTCAAGGTAATATGCAACCTAATAACCAATAAGTACTTGGTATTGTATTTTAATATGCTGCTCTACATGAAACCCTTTATGGACTTGTAGGTATTACCCAAAAGGACAAACATGCCAGGCATCAGCACCACTGATCGCGGTGCCCACCGTGGAGGTCAACCCAGAGGCAGGGCCAGAGGTTTTCGCCCTCCCAGGTACCCCAGCAGCTCTCGGGGCAGATTCAGATACCAGACACCCAGACCGCAACATCAGAACCCACACCCTTACTACGGAGGCCCTCCTGTGGGCAAGAGGCAGTGGGGACATATGGATTATCATGAACAGGTGCCAAAACGCTATCCTTGTCTTCTCCTCATCACTCCACCATCAGAAGAATTGGGCGCTGGATCAAGTGGACACCACTATCCACACCAACGTTAAAATTTAAGAGGCCTGGGCTGAATGATGGACTTAAATAGGCTGACAAAGTTTTGCCTACAAGTTTAAAAGGAAAAAAAACAAATCTCCTCAAAGGAGTGTGCATATTAACATTATTGCATGGACAATTTGCATCAATGTCTTTTTAAATTGTTAAAGTATACTTGTAAACAAATAAATATTCCAGTGGTTTTTACAGGCCTGCAATGATTTATTTACAAATTCATAATTTACAAGTACAACACAGTAATCAATGGGAAGGCTTTATGTACAGTGATGATAGTGATAGCAAAAGTTAAGCTGTTTGGACCATCATCCCAGAAACGATACCATCAAATGCCCTGGAGAGAAAAAAAAATATTATTGAAATGTTAACAAAATAAGTAAATAAAAATCAGTCTTACTTGGACTGAATTGGGTCTCCGGGATTGTGAAAAGGGTTGCACATGACATCAGTGAAAGAATTGTGCAACTTTCTAAACATCTGAAAAGTAAATGCATTTATAGTATTGAACATTTTCAGTATTCAAGGAAGAAAATCCACTTACACTCCTAATTTCATTGTCTCGTAGTGATGTATTTGATGAATCCACAACTATGACAAATTTTACTTTGGAGTTGGTCACATAACCATATCTAATTAAATGGTCAAGGAAACTGTTATTCAAGTTTAGCAACAGTCTCACAACAAAGTACAACAAAATTACAAATGCATCACGTATATTACACTAGATTCTTTCTGATCGATCCTTTTTGAAGTGTTATAATGGATTTATTTTTATCGTCTGACCGAAGCCTTTCCATAAAACTATGGCCCTTAGGTGGCACACGCACGACACTTGTTAAATTCCTGTTTGAGCAGAAATATAAAGCGTTATTCAAAGACAAAGGATACACTTTGTAGTCCTCAGTTGGGTAGAGCAGACCTAGGTACAGTTCTCGCTGGTCGCCGATGGATTTGCCCACCGCTGAGATCTTCTCCTCCACCACATCCAGAGACGTGTGGACTGTGTAGTGGAATTTAAGCTCATTTTGAGTGGGAACACTTCGGATATAAAGTGGGTAGTTCTGTAAAATAAAAAGACAAATCATATTGCTGTACACAGAATCCATAAATGGTAAATAACACCGGATGCTAACATTGCTAGCTCAATTTCACTAGACTGCGATGGTTGCCTCGTCACCTGACAAACAGCCTGCATTAGACGCCAAGAGCATTGGGGAAATGTACTGGCAATCAAATGTATGCCGTGGGGTTAGTCTTTCAAATGAAATGAAGAGAAAAATACCTCTTTTGCGATCACCGCTATGCACACCGCCATGTTTATTTCCTGCTTGCGTTCCGGTGATGATCACGTGACAACTCCGTATGCAATTCAAGCTGTAGCGTAAAAAAGCACCACACACAAATTTACTTTACATTTTCATACAGCGCAATAAGGGAATCTAGTTGCATAAAACAAATAAATTGGAAGTCTCAAAGCGTGTGTTGGCAAAACTTCAGGATTTCAAATCGATGCGCATGTCTCCTCTAGTCACGTGACACGTAAACCAAATATAAAAAAGAAAACTTCCTCAAGTAGGCACTCACATGATTCAACTTCAGCAATGAGGGAGAAGTCTGTTTTTACTACTTTGAGTCTCCTCCATGTAATATGTTTTTGCCTGATAGCTTCAGCTGCCAGCTCTCCAAACATCATCATTATGCTTATGGATGACGTAAGTTGGTTGTGATTCTTTATAAGTTTGTGTAACACTCTGATGAAGGTAGACAAAATATAGAAAAGTTAAATTTGGGTTTTTCAAATTGTATCGAAGACACATTTAATATAGTATTGTTGTATTGTATTGTCTTGCTGTTACTACTTGTTTTTAGATGGGATGGGGTGATTTGGGGATTTTGGGTCAGCCATCCAAAGAGACCCCAAATTTGGATGCCATGGCAGCTCAGGGCATGTTGCTCCCAAACTTCTACACTGCAAATCCTCTGTGTTCCCCTTGTAAGTCTTCATCTGTGTTGGTATTTACATGTGTAAACCAGCAGATCTGGTTTACTTAATGAAAGGAACAAGCCAAGCAATTACTGATTACATTTTACTTACACTCTTTATTTGGTACACATATTTTGTTTTCTCATAGCTAGAGCTGCTCTTCTTACTGGGAGGTTACCTGTCAGGAATGGTTTCTACACTACCAATGCACATGCTCGAAATGGTACGCTCAATAAATTATTTAAAATTTGCAAAATATATATCATACAGTTAAAGAGTTGTGCATTTTTACAGCATACACCCCGCAAGAAATAGTTGGTGGAATCTCTAATGATGAGATTTTGTTACCAGTGGTGCTGAAGAAGAAAGGCTATGTCAGCAAAATTGTTGGCAAATGGTATCGTATGCATTAATAATATTCGGTCCATGTTACTTATTATGTTCGATGCACAACTACAATACCCACCCAGTAGTATTGTATGTTTTCATGTGTGTGTTCTTTACTTCTGAGTCTTGTTTCTATTACATATTAATGATTCTAATTGTATACATAATTAAAAGATGTTTTCTTTTTCATGTATTATAGGCATCTTGGGCACAGACCGCAATACCTTCCCCTGAAGCATGGATTTGATGAATGGTTTGGTGCTCCAAACTGCCACTTTGGTCCTTACAACAACAAAAAACGTCCTAATGTTCCTGTATACAACAACAGTGAGATGGTTGGAAGGTAATGTTCAAACTGCCAGTTATAATAATAAACCTATAACAATGTCTTCTCTCTCTTCAAATTGACTTATGAAGGACTTTGAGTGCCAAGTATTTTTCCTTATGTACTAGTTTTGTTTATTTCGCTACTTAACTTTCTCCGACAAAGCTAATTGACTATTGAGGGTCATCATAATTTGCAAGCAATTAAACAAAGAAAAAAAAATCTAGAGTACATAATGTACTGCCATATTTTCTTGATGATGATTTTAGACTCATTTACCTTTTCTTAAAAATGGTGGTGCGGGTGTTGAGCATTTATCCTCTGACCAGAAAATAAAATCATACATTATGTGATTGTCACTGCTATTGTGATTTTGCCCTCTCCACTCTCAGTACTGTGGTTAGCCAGGACAAGACGACATCTGTGTTCACCACTACAAACCCCTAATGGAAAAGAGAATACCTGAATATAAACTAAATAAAAATGGCATTTCTGTAGTGGGACTGTGTGAATTTCTGTTGCAGGTACTATGAAGAGTTTAAGATCCTTCTAGATACTGCAGAATCCAATCTTACACAGATCTATTTGAAGGTGAGACTTGCGATATATTGCGTTTCTCTCACTGTTTTAAAATGCCTCCGTTTTAGGGCTGCACAATTTTTCTCGGCCAAAAATTAAATTGCAAATTCAGTTGACACAATAATGAAATTTAAAAAGCTGCAATTATTTAGATATTAGCCACCACTCTGTTTACCACTCTAACAAAGTGTACTTTACAGGAGGGGTTAGACTTCATTTTCCGTCAGACTCAAGCCCAAAAGCCATTCTTCCTGTACTGGGCTCCTGATGCCACTCATGCTCCAGTATACGCCTCCAAGCTCTTCAGGGGAAAGAGCCAACGTGGAAGGTGCTGCCATTTTACTCATAGAACAACTGACAATACTAGAAAATTCCACAGCATTGCATTAAACATATCTATTTCTAAGGAGACAATCAGGTGACACCATCAAGTAAATTTAAGATCAGATCTGGACAGATGCTTTCCCCCTCAGAAGAAAGCTTTTTATCTTCATGTCCACAATTAAAAATACACCTATAAATGTATAAATGCATAGAAAGATTTGATTAATGCCATACTGTGGAACATTCTAGGCAAAGCAATAACATCAGACCCTTGCCAGAAATTATATATAGTGCTTTAAATAAATGAATGCACCAACTTCCATGGTACTACCACAGGTGATCTGTTTTCATGATGCAGATATGGTGATGCTGTGATGGAGCTGGATTACAGTGTGGGTCAGATTTTGTCATTGCTCAAGTCTCTGGGCATAGACAACAATACTTTTGTATTCTTCACCTCAGATAATGGTGCTGCTCTGATATCAGGGCCTGAAGGTATTTTGAACAAAGCTTGTCTAATAATTGCAACAACCTTTGCCTGGAACGATTATGTGACTATTTTAATTCACAGGTGGCAGCAATGGGCCTTTTCTCTGTGGGAAGGAGACAACTTTTGAAGGGGGGATGAGGGAACCAGCCATTGCATGGTGGCCTGGACATATAAAAGAAGGCTTGGTAAATTTTCAATATAAACTTAATTCAACAGGTGCAAATTTCACATCATACTTGTTGAGGGGATCATGAGTCATCAGATGATTATTTTTTCTAATGTCAACAGGGTTTCAGAGTTCGTGAAAGCAGAAGTAAATTTCACTCACACTGTATTTAAGGTTGCAGTTTACACATTTCATGCATTATTTACGTCTTTACACGGCATTTTGGATACTTAAGAATGGCAAACTTGCTCCAGGAGATTGAGCTCCGTGAACACAAAAGATGAACTGTTTGATTGTAGCAGCAAAGTGTGTGGGCGCCTTTTACTGTTTCCTAAAATACAGTATTTTTGGCAAGAGCTGCTGCCCCAACACTTTCCCCCCTTCCCAATTTAACCCCCCACCCACACAGTGATCCTCTAAGCCTGTGCATTCTGCAAATGACTTTTAATTGTATTAGGGGCAGCTGTGACACGGGGCTGTGACGCGGGGGGATTTGGTGCGGAGCGTGCGGAGGCTGCAGTCTGCGCAGTAAGCCTTGCCCCTGGCTCATCTCACAGGGGTGTGCTGCGGCCTGATAGCACTGCAGAGGAGCCAGGGAGAGGGGGATTGGGAGCGTCTTAAGCGGCTAATCTGTTTGTGTGTTTGCTGAGGTTGGATTGAGCTGTAATGAGGACTTCAGTATCTGAATATGCCAGGCGCGCAGGATAAAGGAACGAGAGGAGGAGGGGGGCAAGGAAGGAAGCAGCTAAGAAGTAATGGAGGTGGTTGGTGCAGGAAAGAGAAGGAGCAGAGCTGAAGAAGCTGGCATTGCCTAGCTGCCAGGAGTGATTTTACGTTTGCCATGCTCCGCCACATTTTAATTGACCGCTGTTTTTACATTTGCATGTGCAAGTGTGCAGAACATGTCTGTGTCCTTTGTTTTATCCCACATGCCAATGTAGATGCTTGATTAGTGGTGTACGTAAACACTAAACAGAGGCTCCATTTTGAAGTGAATGCAAACATATGTACATAGTGATGCACAACATTGCCCGTGTGTCACGTGAGTGAATGCAGTATGGAGATCTACAGATCCTCCTTGAGGCTCTGAAAGGTTGTGATGACAAAGCTGCTTTGTTGGACCTATACTGTAGCACGGATTTATCACTTTGTGCTGCATGGGCAAAGGACAGAGCCAGAGTGGGGCTATTTTATTTCACATACTTTTGGAATCTCTGTTGATCTGCGGTCTATAGTCTATAAGCTGCTGGAACAAGTGTGATAGGGTACAAAAGCAACACAAGCCATTGTTTAAAGGGATTTGTTACAGTTTTAATATCCAACTTGGACGCACAAACATGCACTAGATTCTCAAAAGTAATGCAGCTGTTTTGGTTTGACAATTTAAGGTTTAGTTTACAAAACCTGAGCACTCAGAACAGCTAGAAAGTGTACTGGAATGATGATGCCCGGTGTGTAGATGCATTCCCCCAGTGCCTGAAGAGGCCAAGGCTCTGTTCACCAAGCAGGGGGTGTGGGCGGGTCCTGGCCCTGCACTATTGTACTGTATCCCATCTTCTATTGTTGTGTTTTATCAGACTGGGGACACATGAGCAAAGCAGAGATAATAGGGATTGAAGCACTGGTTTTGTGATAACCAGCAGGAGTCACAGCACTGAAAGAGAGATGACAGTGAAAGTGATGGAACAATAGGAACAAAATACATGTTTTGTGTCCAAAAAGACAAATATCTCATATATAAAATAGAACATGTGAATATGCTGCTCCATAAAATGAATTATTACCATTCAGAATGTTAAAGAAATCTCAAATTAGTGTTGCTGCCAGGATTTTGATTCTTCTGTCCTTTTTGTCCTGTCTTTAGTTTAGTGCTGCAGTGTTTGCATATATCTGTGTGAGGGGGACTTTTAAAAGTGAAAAATGGAGAGGAGCTAAATGTGTTTGTGTGTGAGAATGAGTGTCTGGATGTGCAGATAGATCAGGGAATGCATTGCAGAGTCTTTTCTGCAGCGAGTTCAGTGGCAACAGAAGAAAAGGGAATTCATTTCAGTGCTTAGAGTTAGTGTGTGTGAGTGGAGCGGTGTGTGTGCCGGCCTGCGATAGCAGCAGCGGCACACGGCGCTGCAGCTGCACAGCCCTGATAGTGCTATCTGATTGTGAGCGTGCCGTCTTCCTCTAAGGCTCGCTCAGGAGAGAATGGAACGGAAGATCAAGGATGACAGCAAAAAAATGGCATTTTATCTGAAAATAGTTCAAAGTTTATAAATAAAATAAAGCTTTTCAGTGGGACTGGGAAAGGGAGATAAAACAGCAGCTCACTCCAGCTCCAGCGCTGCCCGGGCCGTGTCCTCTCAATGCTTTTACCATTTCCTCATCCAGCAAACTAATTTAAAGACACATTTAAATAAACTGGGAGTCAACTGGTGACTAAAGGCACACATATCACATTAAAACTATGAAGTGAAATGTTAATCATGCTTGTGTGAAAAACACTGACTTGTGCAAACTTTTACTACATGTACATATGTTTTGAATTGTAGGTGAACTATCAGCTCTCTAATGTAATGGATCTCTACACTACAAGTTTGGCTATAGCCGGCATTACTGTCCCTGATGATCGAGTACTGGACGGACTAGACCTGACACCTGTCCTGCTGAACAACTCTGACTCTCTCAAAAACAGGTAAGAGCATCATGAAACTAAATATATTATTAACATAATAACAGGTTTTATAATGTTATTTACCTATTTTCAAGGCCTGTCTTTTATTACCGTGGGAATGAGCTGATGGCTGTGCGCATGGGTCAGTACAAGGCGCACTATTGGACCTGGAGTAACTCCTGGGAGCAGTTTAAAACCGTAAGATGCCTGCAGACTCTGTCCTGACTGTTTTATTCGCTCACCCTTTTGTCTCTCCTAATCTCCCTCCACCACAAACACTTTCTCTGCTGGAGTTATCTCTAAAATGCCTCATCAGTTGACTGCTGTGTACATCAGAGCATAATGAATATTAATGAAGAGCCCCCACATCAGCAAACTTACATCATTCATCAACTAGTTGACGTGTTTGTTAACTCCAGTGGGTTTTTTTCTTCCTGTCTGTTTATGTGGCTCGCTCCCTGCTGTAGTCATTCTTTTTGGTATCACGGAGCTTAAAAGACGGAGGCAGCAGTGTCTCTGTACTAATTACTTGAGCGGGGCTGATTAGACATATCAGAGGAACAGTCAGATCTGACTCTGAGGCAGGACACGAAGGCGCGTCTTCACTTCTCTGTCCATAAAAACATGTCCCACTCTCCTCTTCTTTGATCCAGTTTGTTTTATGCCCCATCGGTCGCTTAAATTGCTCTCTCCTTCAGGGCTGCTGAATCAATAGTGGCCTCCTTTATCAACTCATGTGAACTGAAGTGGAACTTCACAAATAATGGTGTCTGATTGCTTGTGAGTTGCCTATTGATTGGTGTGTGTACATGAAAGAGGGAGAATAGGAAAAACATGCACATGCATGTTGTGCCCTCCATACAGATGCCCGTGACTCTGTGTTGAATAGGGCAACTCAGCTTGCTTGTTTTCAGTTATTTACTTTACCAAAAAAAAATGAATTTGAAATGCTGTTCAATTACATTTGATTCCTTAGTTATGTCCATTAACCCATTTTGGTAGAGGTATGATTGCTTCCATTGACCATTTTCATTCTAAAAGTATTTTTTTATTTAATTTGCTAACCGAGATCGGAGAAAATAAACAGGGGAAAAAACAAAATTGCTGGTTAATAGCTGCTGAAAGTGTTGCTCTGTCCGAGCTGTATTCTTGCTGCTCAGCCATGAGGAAAATGAGAAATTTCAAAGGGTTTAAAAGGCTCTCATCAGGTTCTCCTGAGGCAGAACAGTGATGTTAATGCTCAGAAAATAGACTGTCTCCAGTCTTTAGTCTCTGGATTATATAAAATCAGTTATGCTGCTCCATAAGATATGTGACTGCATAAAGATATTTTAGCCTTGTTGAAGTTCCTCATTGTGGTGAATAAACACTGACTAATGGTTGTATCTTGACACCTGTTTGTGTGGTATATGCAGTGGTTTTGTTTTATAGTTTGTGCTGTTGTTCAATAATAACTGACTATAGCCAGAGTGCTGAACTTTTTATTCTTACATTCTGGAGTCAGTCGTATTACTATTCTGTTAAATATGTGCTGTACAACATACAAATAAACAATATGTGATTATAATGAATTTGCTGGATAAAATGTGTGCAAAAGTTACAGGAGAAAAGTTTGATTTCGTTCTCACGCTTCAGAGCAGCTGCAGAATATTACCTTTTCCAAAAAATCCATCTGGCCACCCCTGGGTGTCTCTGCACCTTATCTCATAATAGCGAGCGCTCTGTTCCAGTTTGAAAGCGGCCTAGTTGTATCCATAGCATTAATGTCAAGGAAGATAGGGAGTTCTTCTTTTCAGTCCCGCTACAAGAGACAGTCTGAGAGATACACGCAGCAGGCCTTTTTCTCGCCGCTCCTCTGGGATTGGAGTTTTTTTTTCTGCATTTCTAAGATGCTGCCTTCACAACATAGGACAAGTCCAGATCAGACGAGGTTGAGCGGGGCGGGGGGTATCTATCTTCTCACACACTCACTCCCTTCTATATGTATTTTGAGGTGCTCTGTTTAGTGATCACAGAGGGGTGCAGCAACAGTGGCTTACAGATGAATGCATTCTCAATATTGCTTCATCAGAAAGTGTGTGTGTATATGTGTGTGTATGTGTATGTGTGTTTTTGAAGGCAGCAGCACATCTCCAGGGGGTTGTGGAGGAGGGAGAGTGACTCAATCAGGCTGTGATCACTGCCAGACTCTGGGGCAGGGCTCACAGAACTGGCTGAAGGACCATTTACATATACAGTAGACCTGCTTTATGAACTGGAGACACTAACTAACTACAGTGATTCAGGAATATGATGATGACACTCATTTCTAGTTGTTGTACATTAGTCGGCAGCAATGTTTCTTTTATTAATTACAATTATTTTGCAGTCTGTGTATTGCAAGGTATCAAATGGCACCACAACATCCTCTAGGCCAGTAATATTTAATGCAGGTGGGTGAGAGCAGCTAAAATTAATATTGTTCAGATGCAGATTTTTGTTGAAATACAGTGAGTTTTTTTTAATCTAGTTTAAATGATCAGGTTCACCATTTGTGAATTTATAATTTGGGAAATTTCATGGTCCAGTGGTATCAATAGAGAAAAGTGTCTCTTGCTCTGCATCTGGGAGTATTACATTCTTACATTCAAAAGCATATATGCTATAGTAATACAGCTGAATAATACTATTTTTGAACAGATAATGTTATTCAAGCATAAATAAATAGTACCTCTAGGGTTTTATAAGTGAATTATTTAATAAACAATAACTGTTAAAACTATATTAAATGTCTATCACTGAGCATTGAAACATAACATTGCTTAACATTGCTAACCTACCATGTGTATTGTGAAATCAATATCAAGAAGCAATGCTATGAGTATTTATAAAAAAAATAAAAATAATAATAATAATATGCTGACAAATTTTTTTAGACAAGACATTTTAAGAAGAGTTACAAGTGGAACATTTGTGTAACTCACATCAATGTTAATTCAAATACACTAACTACATATGCACAATTGAGAAATCTTTAAAACCATGATGTATTTTTATGACCATAATGCTTACTTTTTCTTTTTTGGTTTTGCAGGGAATCAACTTCTGCCCCGGCCAAGAGGTGCCTGGTGTGACCACTCATGATCAAATGAACCACACTTTACAACCACTCATCTTCCACCTGGGACGGGATCCTGGAGAGAAGTACCCAATCAGGTCCACCAAAACTATAAGTACTACTTCCTACTATTACTACTTCTGCAGCAACATAAGTACTAAGGTATTTTTGTCTGTTGCTAACACGCTGTATATATGGTGTATGATCCATGGTGATTTAGTGGTATAGAGAGGTAGAGTGCATTGATTTGTTCAGCTGCTGTTCGCCTGATTAGACTCTGGTCTTTGTGATTGCAAACAGCTCAGTGAAGATCACAATCTGCCTTTCGACCCTCTGCAGGTCACACATGCAGGAGAAATGGTGCAGCTCTAAATTGAGAATGAATGCTGTTTAATGGGGTTTTGTGTGTCTCTGCTTGTAGCTCAGGGAGAGTTAAGAAACACTAAGGACACTAACAATACCTGAAAAAGACATTTCTGTCCAAATAACAAGATTACAATTTGTTTTGTTCATATTGTCACTATTTTTGAAAATGATATTTACATATATGCATATGTAATTTAGCTTTTTTTTTAACTTAATATACTTTCTATTGAGTTATAGGCCAACATAAGTGACATAAAAGCCACTACCTTGTATTACCATTGCCATCACTGGTGCCATAAAGAACTACTATGGCTGTTGATGAAGTTGGCAGCCACACTTTTCTTACACAGCCGGGCCTGAAGAGGTAGCTTACTAACATAAGTGTGTGTAGTAGTCAAAGCATAATGCAACATAAAGCAAATTTGAGTATACCAAAAAGTGCAGTTTTAAGAAACATTTTAACCTTTGTTTTCTCTCTTTGCTATCTAATTCACCAAAGTTCTCTCTTTGACATCTTTTAGTGAGATTAGATGACAAAACATTTAATTTGGCCTACCTTTTAGCCTCGCAATTTAAAAATAAAAGAGGCTAGATTCAATTAGTATGCAGCCCTGTGATTCTCGGTATAAGAGAATACAAACTTATATCATCCCATAAAATTTGTATTCGTATAGTTGTATTTCATGTGCACAGAGAAGGGTCAGAGGAGTTGTCTACAAGGTCAGACTCCATGCCTTTCTACATGACACTATCAATGCAATCTGCAGTTTTAATTATTTTACTCCTAAATCTGGCCTTTAGTTTCACTGCTTCCTACTTGGTCTGTCCTTCTTGTATCCACGGGGACCTCGCTTCTGTGTGTGTGCGTGCGTGTGTGTGTAACATTTTGTCCATGTGCTCTTCAGTCCCCCAGCTGGACCGACTGCCCAGATATCATTAATCACTGTCTACACCTAAAGAGCCACTTAAGATGATGTAGGGGCTGTCTGCACACATACCTTCAGTACTGTCGCACGGCACTGTACACAGGGGCAAAGTCCTGAATCTAAAGATGAGATTAAAATTGGGAAAGCTGGTGCATCAGTGAGTCTCATGTTTATTCTCAGTCTAGTATGGCAGAAACTAACACATGTTTCAGTAGTCATCTTGTTTATTTCTATTCTATTCTAAATTTTAGACTTTTTAAATAAACTTTTTTTAATAGGAGGTGTAAATGTTAAGAAAAAGTAATATAAAATATAAAAGTAATGTAATGTTAATAAAAATCCCACAACTGCTTATTCTTTTTGCGAGTTTGATATTATAATGCTGCTGTCTTTGTTAAGCAATTTCATGTTTATTACAATAGTTAATGCTTATTTCAGTAGTCAGTTAGTCAAGGCTGTCATACATTTTAGCTTACATTTTAAATCATTATTTAGGACCTTTACATTGTGGTTTGTCAATGCCTATTTTAAGTGAGTCCTGGCAAGAAGCAATCGGGAACATAATTTATACTCATACCCTTTTCGTATAAGACCAATGATATACAGTATGAAAAGAACAAGTGGAGGTTAGCGGCACATTTAGAGACAAATGATAATTGTCATTTCTGATATTTCAGAATGGTATCAAAATGAGTCTTTTGTAATTAGCAATTTAGCCTGTGTAGTGTATACGAACCTCAAGGCTGGAGAAATGGAATGGGTTCTGTCAGGAAAGAAATCTAGTATCTGTTTTTTTGTTTTAAACAATCAATATGAGTATCAGTACAAGTAGGTGAGGGGATTTGCTGAGGTCTGTATGTACATGGTTCTTGTATGTACATGGACAAGCCATATGTTGATCTATGTCTGTAGTTTTGGTGGTCCATGCCTTTCTGGTCTTATCTCAGATCCAATCTGGTCATGCTCCTTTCCCTGCCTTCTCCTTGTGCATCTCTGACCTGTATAGCCATAAGGTTAACTCATCCTCCACTCTTAGCAGCGGCTTTCCTCCGACTCCCTGTCCCAAGAGCCCCCCTTGGTCAACCCCAGCACAGACCAGGCCCTCTCTCTGCAGGCGGCGCGGGCTCAGACTGGCCTCATCTGCTGCCTGCCACCAAGCTCTTGTATCGCCAATCAATAGTCCTCAGTGAAGTGCTCAATTTCCAGTGGGGAGGAGAAGGCGCAGAGGGGAGGGGCTGGGCAGGACAGATGTATTTGATTGTCTCCTCAATTCCCCCACCTTCTGCTGTGTGTGTGTGTGTGTGTTTGTGTACGCGTGTGTGTGGGTGCAATCCTGTTATGAATCAGTAATCAGAGTGGTGACACACCTGAGCAATGCCCCATCCCCCTTGGGTGCCATACATTATAAATCAAAAGACTTCATTTGCATACATGCTGCTTATTATTCCAGATTTTGCCTCTACACCACTAAGCTAAGGGTTATAATCATGATAATGAGCTGTGCTGACTGTGGGCTTTTCATTATGTGTTTGCGAAGGGGGCATAAACAAATGGTATTATTATTTTTTGATTTAGAGGTACGCACTGTAAGATTTTCAATGCATAGACAAAACAATAGAAACTTTTTGACCAGCACAAGTTTCTGGGTGCAGGGCCGTGCTTGGCTTGCAGACACGTTTGCGGGAATTGAATGCTTAATGCTCTCTGATAAATCTTCCTTACATTTACTTGTAATAAGATGCTTTATCAGTTATCATTAAATGAATCACAGCTATCGGGAAAGGAACAGATAGTAAGAAATGAAATATCCCCCGTGCTGATTGGGATCATGGGAAGCAGAATTTGCGATTTTAGATAGCTGAGGCAATTTAATCTGAATCCATGTTTTTTCACTGAAAGAGGGAAGATTTATCCTTATCTTCTTTGGGTCAAAACTCAAACATTAGCATCTGTATGATGAGCATGGCACAGAGAATGAGACTAATTGCAGCCAAAGCAGTACCAGTCGAATAATTGTGGGGTAAAGTAAAGAGTGAGTATCGGGGATAGGAGCAGGTGCTAGCTGATGGAGGAAGTGTGCTGCCCGGTGGGAGCTCCGAGAGGGAGGGGAGGTGTGAGCTGGACAGAGCCTGGGGTTATTACTCTAATTGACACTTCACCTCAGGCACATGCACATGGTCCCCGGGGGCCAATCAGAGGGCTGGCTCGGAGCGCAGGGAGGAAGCCGCTCTGGCACAGGTGCTGCTGGAGAGTGTATCAGGGGTGTAATTGCACTGCTCATATTTGTCTATACGTGTGTCACCACCAGCGCAGCGCCCAATCCCCAACACACACACACAGCCCATTAACCTACAGGTCCTACTGAGAGCGGCGTTCCTTTGAAAGCCTTCAGGGCCCCATGTTTTACACTCTGAATATAATAATGCACAGAGGTGCTCAGGCTCGCGATGTCCAACAGCAGTAATTGAGAGACAGGGGATGGGAAAGGGGTCACACGGGTCACCCACTGAGTGGGTTTTCCCAGAAGCTATGAGCAGATGACCCATGTATATGTATGCACTGTGCCTGTTTTCTTTACACATGCTTCACAGTGTATATATAACTAGCATAAATTTGATATTTTTGGAGGTGGAGATTTTATAGTATATATGTAATAAGAGTTTTAAACAATTAATTTTGTAGTTAGAAATGTAAGTGCAATTTGAACTAGAATTTCTTGCTTTATTTTATTAGTTTGGATTGACTAATGTTTTTAATATGAATAATAAGTCTGAGTTTGAATGCACTGGAGTGACTCATCAAAACACAATAGGCCATTAATTTTCCAAGCTTCTTCAGCTGCCCTATGAGGCCTATGGAAACATCTGACAGTCTACACCAGCAGTCTTCCCAACTACCACCAGCCCCTCACTGATCAAATTCACAGGAAGAGTGTGGCAAAAGTCTTGTCCACTGACACTACATTATAAACTGCTAGTGATGGATTCAAACCACCAACCTTAAGCCACCTTCTCGTTATGAGATGGCTCCTTAACAATCTGGCCACTGTCACCCCATGACAAATATAATTAATGCACTGAAGAAGTGTATGTTTTTAGATGACGATGTTCTTATCATTACTCTATGTCTGTAGTGTGCTGACCAAAGAGTACCTGGACGTCATGAAGACACTCACACCAGTTGTGCAGCAGCATAAAAAATACTTGATCCCTGGAGTTCCTCAGCTCAACATGTGTGATCTGGCCGTAATGGTGAGTTAAATTAATTTAATGATAACCACAAGAAAGTACAGTTCACTCTTTTAACATCTGTAGCGGTACAAAATCAGTAGTAACACAATAACTAAAAGCGAACATTAAGCTCACGCGGTAGGTTCTCAATTTATTCATGTAGCAGCAGTGCCCTCTTGTGGCCTACATTGGAAGCACAACTGGGCTGTGACTGGCCATTTAGGGGAGACTAAATTAATTATGGACAGATAATTGTTACAGTTATAGTGGCACAATGATGTTAAAACAAATGTAGTGTAATATTGCACTGGAGCAAATACTCAAAAAATGTTTTGATATTTTGATATTTATGTTGATAGAACTGGGCTCCTGAAGGGTGTGAGAAACTGGGGAAGTGTTTGAAGCCTCCTGAGTCCAAGCCATGGAAGTGTTTTTGGCCGCATTAAACTAATCCACTGGGACTAAAGCATAACTTGCACAGAAAGTCTTTTCTACAATGTCATTTGATAATGTCAGCCCTGGATGAGAGAATATAATATAATGTATAATACAGCTAAATCTGTTTCTTTTTCATGCTTTGAGTAGTACTGGTTCTTTTATTATTATTATTAGTTGTTTGTTTGTTTTGTTGTTGTTTTTTGGTTGTCTTTGTTTACATGATCTGATGGAAAAGTAAAGTTCTTTTTCCAAGTGAATTTTAAATAAAGGCATTCATGAGGGTACATTTATTACTGTAGCAATGATAATTATTATATGGAAATTCTACTGAAATACAGTTCTGCTTAGCCTTAGTCCACTTCATTCTTTCTTTAGTAATTTCCTCAGCAAACAGGACATTGCTCACAGTTTCCTGATTCAAATAAAGTATTAGTTCTGCAGCATCGTGTCAGACAGGCAAAGTGAAACGCCACAGATGGAAGTAAACTTTACTTTTCTGAATCCTCTTGGATCTTGAAACTTGCGGAACTGGTAAGCAACGCACAAGTAAACCTTCACGCCATTTCCAGAGAACTGGATTTCGAATTCAAGGTTTGAGTTTAGTGCTGCCCTCTGCTGGACACTTTTTGCGCTGTAATTGTAAAACAGAAGAGCGTTATTTTTTTATTTTCTTTTACAGACAATCTTGTGTTTGCTGTGTTTGTGAATTTTTCTGTAGTCATAGCTCCAAAATACACCACAGCCACAGCCCTAGAATTCGCCTTTCTGATAGTTCTGATTTCACTATATTCACTCAAATTAAACCAGAAAATTTAAAAACTAGGTCTAGTTACATTTTATTATAAGACCAATGTTAACATTATTAATTGCAGTTTCACAATTTAACCCTCCAAAATTCTCCGCTGAGCTGTTACAAAATCCATTGTACTACATAATTTTTCAATTTTTGGATTGACCTCTGGCCTGCAAGCCTCATACAAACCACTTTTAATATATAGTATAAAGTATATAGTATGTAATAAATATATATATAGAATAGTATACATAGAATATTCTGGCCAAAACAAACAGTCAAATCAAACCTATTGTTCTGTTAATATGACCTTCATATGCCTAAGTATATCACAGAAATTTGTTTTGAAATCATTTATTTATTTTTAAATTCAGAACAAAATTACATCTTTAGTGTTCCAGTCAAAAATGACCAGAATAATCATACTAGTAAGAAAAAGGGTACAAGGCCACAATTATATAACAAAATATATTATTAAAATATTATAATCTCATGTTGTGATGAACCCATTTAACAACTAAAATTATTTTAGACTTCTGATGGAAGTTCATCTGCAACATACGACTTTTACAGAACACTATAGGCAGGGAACTTTTTAGTCTGTTTTATTTTGGTATTTATACAACAGATCAGTGTGTGGATGCAAAACAACTTTCTCCAGCTAAACTCTGACAAGACTGAAGTCATAGTGTTTGGTCCACAGAAACAAAGGGACAGTGTCAGCAGTCACCTCTAGTCTCTCTCTCTAAAACCTTCAAATCAGGCAAGAAGTCTAGGGGTAATAATGGACTCAGACTTGAACTTTAACAGCCACATCAAGTCAATAACATCTGCAGCCTTTTACCATCTAAAAAACATAGCAAAAATCAAAGGTTTACTGTCTAAATCAGACTTGGAGAAACTTATCCATGCGTTTGTCTCCAGTAGATTAGACTACTGTAATGGTCTGCTCACTGGTCTCTCCAAACGAGCTGTGAGACGCTGCAGAACATCCAGAACGCTGCAGCTCGGGTCCTTACTCGAACTAGGAAGTACGAGCACATAAGTCCTGTGCTCAGGTCTCTGCACTGGCTCCTGTGCCTCAGAGAATAGACTTTAAAGCAGCTCTGCTTGTGTACAAGTCTCTCCATGGCCGAGCACCAAAGTACATCTGTGACATGTTAGTGTCATATGAACCATCTCGCACTCTGAGGACCTCAGGGACCGGCCTCCTGCTGGTGCCCAGAGTCAGAACTAAACAAGGGGAGTCAGCGTTTCAGGTTCATGCAGCTAAAACCTGGAACAGTCTTCCTGAACATGTGAGACAGACTCTTCTGTGACGCTGTTTAAATCCAGACTCAAAACATTTCTGTTTAACTGTGCATATGACTGAAAGGTTTTCATTCTGCACTCTTCTCTCCAATTTATGTCTCTCTTTTTTAAAATTTTAATCTTCATGATTATTTATGTTTTGATTTGTTTTTATTATGATTTTAATGTATTTCTTATTCTGTAAAGCACTTTGAATTACTTTGTGTACGAATTGTGCTATACAAATAAACTTGCCTTGCCTATTTTTCACCTTTGTCGCCTTTTAAAAATACTGCTCATTTCCTTTTCTTCACAGATAACTGGTTTCATATTATCCCTACTGCTGGGTGCAAACTACTACTTGCTGTTACTTTACATTACTCTCAACAAACCAAGAGGTGGTGATGCCCCAAATTAAATTTAATAATAGTTGTGCACATTCAGCCACATGTACAGCTTGTACGTATTAAAGGATCTATATTACACAAATCGACTCTTATGAGCTTTAAGCACTGGTTGAGTAACCCTACATATTATCTACATTTCCAAATGCTCTGTTCCACCTTTGTTCAGTAAATAATGGCTATTCTAGGACTGAAAATATCCGAATGATTCTAGTGAAGGTGTATGCAGTTTAAAAACACAGGGTGGAACAGGGTGTTTTCTGTTTGAGAGAAGAACTTTCAAACAGAAGCCTAAATATGCAGGGTGGGTGTGTTTAACTTGTAGGAACGAAACAAAACACAATTCCAGGTATGTTTTTGATGAGGAAACATAATCAGTAAGTAGCATGATATGGGCTCTTTAAAAAGGTTTAGGTCAGAAATCACAGGTGACGGTTCATTTAACCGTACATTGGAGCGCTGAAATGTCCCCATATTTCGACAAATAAAGGTTATCTCTTACTGTCTAGAATGGCTTAATATTTTAGGGGTAAATTGTGAAAATCATAATGGTGCAGATTTTCTTGAAACACTATTGACTCTATTCAATATACTAAACTCTATAAACAGCAGCTCTGGCCTGCATTATAGCATTCTTAGGGGACTCGCCTTGTTCAACATCTGCACGGAGATAACTGTTCAATCTCTGTGTCAAACACAAGCTGTTTGCAGTAAATGTTTTCATATACAATAATAAAACTCTTTCTTTCTTTGCCCTCTGCGCTCATGAGCCGCATATTTGAGTCGAGTAGTTCCTCATTGTGCTCCATGCAGCTGCGGGCATCACATTTCACATCTGGAGAAAGCAGATGTTGCGCTTTTGGGAGCTTGAGTTTCCGCGCTGTCATTATTTCCGTTTCCAACTTTGAGAAGACGAAGTGCACGCCCCCGCCCCCGTATCCTTTGCCCCAAACACTGTTAGCGCACTCCGGGTTATTTAGAGTTTGCAGAGAAGAGTTTGAGACAATTGTTTGGAACCATGGGGGACATCGAGGCTCGCGGATCCAACGACGCGCCCTCGAGCCCCGCGGTTCTTATGGCGATTCTTCCGAGCAAGGAGTTCTCCACCTCCAAGAAAGGCATGCTGCTCACTGGAGAAGTGGTAAGCATCACGACAACTCGCCTTTCTCTATTAAAACCAACATTGCAGCAGTAATCCACCCACATAAGTTAACTGGATCTTACTTTTCTCATTTTATTTGACTTCCTGTTTATGACACACACTTTTACTACTACTGCTACACTATTTTCAAAGTGGAGATCACATTTTTTAAATGCACAAGCCTTCCTAACCCACTAGTTCACCTGGGGAAAAACGTGGAGGCACTGGCTTAACTTGTCCAAACAACTCTAATCTATTTTTTTCTTGCTTTGTCCTACTTTCTTATTGTAGCTTCTTGAGTATTAAGCTATACAGAAAAGCTTTTGCAAATAGTTGTTTATGTTGTGACCTTATTCGTTTCTGCAGTAATTGTTTTATAGCTAATTTTTAAGAAGTCCAGCCCTGTTATTTGGTGTCATGTGACTTCCATACCATCTCCCATCCCTGTCTTTGAGCCAATGCCTGCAGCACAGTCTCACAGAGTTCACAGAATACAATCTATTTACTCACTCTGAAGTCAGAAACTATCAAACCTCTGGACATACTGACATTTAAATGCAGAAGTACTACCCTTGTGCTTGTAGATCACAGGGCACATGTGGTGGAGAATTGGCCTACTTTTGGTACATCTCTCACAGTTTCTGAAAACAGTCATAGAGAAAAGATTGAGTATCGCTGTATAAATTGTTGGAACATACCAGTGTTTTACATCAAGCCTCAGGAATGCAGACCCAACTAACAGACAGCATCTTTGTTTGACACAATTCACATTTGAGAAGTTAGTTTGTGACAGTTAGAGTACTTGGTTTCAATTTGGGTCAACTGCAATGTGAATCAAGCAATAAAACTTTTCAATGTTTCATTCAAAGTTCAAAAACTATTCTGGGTCTACAAGACCTGGTCTTGTCTGGTAGTCTGGTAAAGTACATTTAGTTATACAAAGACTTGGGTATCAAGAAGGTACACAACATTTTAGGAAATGAAATGCTAAATTCTATTCAGTAGTTATTATGAGGTTATATTTTAGTCATGGGATCTTGCGTTGGCCCATATCTCCGAAATGGCTTTTCCTGCTAGCTGTCAGTGAACATAGTTATCTGGTTCCTTTTGATTCATTGCACAATATTTTGTGTGCTTGATTTGAATAAGCATTTGTATTAGTCAATTCAAACTGTATGCTTGTATAGCTACATTACAGTAAAAAGCTGGAAGTGAGAAAACAGCCTGTAGCTGTCCTTGGTTGCATTAGTCAGACGCACATCCTGCTGAGCCTGCATTATTGTACACAGTTTGTTGGACCACCATGTCACTCTCATTAATATCCAGTCTACACAGTCGATAAGAAATGTACTATCACAGGGAATGTGCTTAATATGCTGCATGTAGAAAGCTTTGTAGTTCCTAAAATATTTTTTTTCTAACAATAACTATCTGTTTTAAATGGAGAACAGAGTGTGGCAAATGTGTGGCAAATGTGTGCCAAGTGTGCCGCTCCCCTGGTGGTATGAAATTACAACAAGGGATTTTCAAACTACTGACTGCTGTATGTAATGTGTTTCTCACAATGGGATGTGCATTTTCCCCAACTATTTCATCTTAAAAGGCAAAAACACATCTAGCTGGCTCTTGGATGTTTGGTGACTTTAGTATCCATGCTACTTGAAACAGTGTTTTGATCCTGATTTTTAAAGAATCAGAGTAAGTTACAGCGTTTGGAGTTCAAAGAGAGGGTGGTCCTTGCCTCAGGCTCCACCAGAATGAATGACTCAAACAAAGACAAGATGGCTGCACTTAGAGCACACTGTCTGGACATATCATTGGACTTGGTCTGTTTAGCCTTTAGATTTATTGTTACTACTTAATAACTTAAGTATAAGTATAACTTATAACTTATATAAAAACAGACTACAATTACTATCACACATATTCTGTTATGTATCGACATAAGCGTGTGAAATAAATGGGGAACTTTTTGTCAACATTATCTTTAGCAGATGTATCTCTTTACAGGAAGTGGGCCCGAAGCCGCAGTACAGCAGCCTGGCAGCTTCAGGGAAAATTGGAGCAACACGGTTTTATTCATGAAGTTGATTATAGACTGTGCCGCTGGCTTTCACAAAGTCTAACAATAGAAAAGGCAGAGCAAATAAACAGCTATAATCCTATAGTGAACTAAAACAAGTGTGCAAAATATGTGTAGTTCTTTTTTTAGCGTACTCGAATGCTCATTCAGTTGCTTACAATGATTTACTAACTTAGTCCTGTCACAATAACAAATTTTGAAGTACGACATATTGCTGAAGTAAATGTCCATAAAATATTATTCTACATGTGCAATATTGTTGAAGAACATGAGCAATACATAATTTGTACTTTGGTAATTAGATTGTATAGTTTTTGTTCCTTCTACAGCTAAGATCTTATCATATATACTTATGATAAATATTGACCCCCAAATATTATTGTTCCATCTCTCATGTATTGAACGATAAGTCGATAATAATTGTCATGACAGACCTATTAACTGTTCATTCCTCATGCTTGTGTCCCCTACATGTTTTCTAAGTTGATAGTACACATCGTGGTACTATTTCTCCATTAGAAGACATGAGTTTAATCTGGTGTTTTTCTTGTATTTTAGGTCACATCCTTCATAGACTTTGTGTGCTTTGCTGCATCTTCAGCAGCAGGCTTCGTCACAGTTCCTTTGATTGAGTTCTTGGGAGCACTCTTCATACTGTTTGCTTACTCCACCAAATTCAATGAGAGGTTTAAAGGATTCCTATGGCCTCTAATGGTGAACTTTGCCAGTTTTGGTTTCTTTTTTTCAGTCTTATTATATTGTGTTGATAATATTATCATTACTATGTTCAACCTTTTTTTAGGATTTCCTAAGGTGTGTGACAGCATCCATTATATATTTCATTGTCTCCATAATTGCCATATCTAATTATCGAGATGGTGCGTCCAATGCTGCAGGGGTAAAGAAATGACAAACATCTATGGAATAATACTTATTACTCCCCTAGATATTGCGAAGCTAATCAATTATAATTTTTTGCAGGTATTTGGGTTTATTGCCACCATTATTTTTGCTTTAGATTTTTATAAAGTTTTTATAGAACTGGCAGAGTTCCTCAAGCAAGGAGGAGAATCACGGGAGGAGGCTACACAAGAAGGTGAGTTCTGAATATCATGTGTTACCATGCAACATAATACATCTGGTTTGCGGTACATCTCATATTTCAATGCACATATATCAGAAAGGCAGTAATCCATAACTTCAAATATTTTATCTCCTGTAATATATATCTATTATATATTTTGTACTTTTCAGACAAGTATTCAGAGTCAGATGAGGATTCTGACTGAAGTCATAGGTCCTTCTCAACCACAACCACCAAATGCAGGAGTTGTAAATCTGTCAAAACGTCAAGTAATGAGCAAAACCAAACTGTTGCAACATGGACTTCACATCTGTATAGAGTTACCATATTTGTTTGATTTGTAACAGTGTCCATTTCATACTGATTGAAAATGTGAAAACAAACAGGCGTGACTTTTGTCTGGTAGAAGCTGTGAGTTCCGCAATACAACTATTACATACATATGCATATACATGTGACTGATAATAAGGTACTTTTGATCTTTAAAAGTCACCTTAGTAGTGATGGGAGCCACTGATATAGGTTGGCTGGTTACAACCTATTTAAGTTTATATACACTTTTTGTATCTTGTTTCAACCACTGCCTCTAACAGCACCTTTGTGTCAGCTAAAATAATGTCACACAAGTATAGACAGTGTGTGAATGTTTTACTAACCTGTACATTTGTACTTGTTTGACTAATCTTCTCTTTACATCCTCTCTTTATGTTCACTGTTCCTGTTACTGATGCCACACTGACTGACTACTGCACCGCAGTATAATGTATTTGTATGGGAGAATATGAGCTGTGTGTTGCCATGTTTTTTAAATGTGTCTTGTGAGTAAAGCTATAATAAAAACATTATATAATGTTGAAATTGATTTATTCCAGATGACACACTATAAACCAAACCTCATAGAAAATATAAATAGGCCTGTAGTCTTCATGCACAATGCCTTGTGTAAATCACACACTTGATCTCTTTATTATAGCTGAAAATAGGTTTAGTTTCAGTTAAATTATTTGTCACCTTTTTTGTACATTAAGTTGTTGAGACAGTTATAATACAATGTGATTGTCCATTCAGCAACTTTTGGTCACCCCGACCAGGACAGTATCAGTAATTGTATTTAGTGTGACATGTGATGCTATTGCTACTCTTAAAACAAGGACAAACCACCTCTACATTCAACTACACAACTGTAGCTTTGACATACCACGTGACACATACACCATTCAAGTTCACACCAGCAGGTGGAGCTGTAGAGTTATCTTTTTGGCCCTGCAAATCCAAACTGAGGGAGGCTGTCTGGCTATACACAAGACTCAAGAGCAACACATTAAATATAAAGTTACAAATTAAATATTTATGGTGGAAGATATGACTCCCTATTCACACAACATAATACATTGTCTTTTTGTCTAAAATGCATCATAAATTTACACTAACTGGAGTTTATTGTTGAACTACTTTTGACATAATATGGAAACAAATTCATACTTAAAATATTCACATTTGTGTTTAAGGCACAAGAGTAATTAAAAAGAAAAGTTTAGACTTGAAATATTAC